TCCTGTACGAGGAGAGTCAGGGAATGGAGAACTTTCTCCACCTTCCCATCTTTCTCTAGGCGAAAATACGTCTGGACTCCCTCTACGTAGTCCTCAACACGCATAGTGCGGTTGTCTGCGAGGACACTCACTATGGAATCTTCCAACTTCTGGACTTTCAACCCTAGTCTCAGCTTCTTTAGCGCTCTACGACTAATATAACTTTGGGTAGCCCCTGAATCTATAAGGGCTCCTACTCGGCTTCTAAAAACTTCTACATCTACTAAAACTAGTTGTCCTCTACTCTCTTTCTTCATCTTGGCCCAGGCGGGCATTCTCTCCTTCAGCTCATCAGCCACGCCTGTGAGGGAGGTGCCTAAAGAGACTCTAACGCAAGCAGTCTCTAGACAGCTATCTAGGCACCGGCCTACAACCTCTGCCATAGGCTCATGTGGTGTGGGAGTTTCTTATCGGCTCGCGCTCGTTTCCCCACATGGCCTTATGATAGGGGCAGTTGCTACCCCTACCGACGGGTGCCTTTTGACAGTTGGGCAGCCCATCGGGCCTCTCCATACTTTGGACAAAATCTAATGATGTGGCCAGGGTAACCGCAAAATACGCACTGCCCCTGATCCACACTTTGCTGCCAGACGTGCTGGTCCAGGCCCAAATCCTCCCAAGGTCGACCCTGAGGCAGACCTGGGTGCCAACCACCTCTCCTATAGGGCGATCTGTTACCCCTATTAGGTGACCGGTGGCCAGAACGGTTTGGCGGGGGACCATGACCCCTTCCTCCCACTCGGCGGTTTCCTCCTCTACCGCCAACCCCCTGATCGCCCTGGGAATGGCCACCTGAGGCCCGGCCCCCTTCGCCCTGGCCTCCTCCTCTTCCTTGCGGCCTCCCTCCGGCCGCGACAGCAGCGCAAGTCCTCCCCTGGCTAACGCTGCTGTCCTCCTCCTCCTCTAGCCCCCACTCTATATGATCATAGGGGACTTCCTCAACATCACTTCCCTGTTCGGTGTGTCATAGGTCATGGTAGGCTGCTAGCTCTTCTCAAAGAAGTGCCCGCGTAACGATTCGGGCATAGCCTGATAGAAGAGGTTGACCAGTTGGGTCTCTGTGACCCCATGGTCAGGAACAGCCACTAACTCGTCCATTACCCCCTGGAGTGCCCTGGCACTCTTCCACTGGCGAGAATGGATAGTCTGCAGCCTATCAGAGGCTTTAACACTGTGCGAAACATCTGCGAATCGTTCGCGCAAAGGAAATCAGCGAGGGGAGTGAACGCAGAGTAAGCAACTACATCCTCGTTGCAATTTGCAGCGCGAACTAGGGAACGGGCAAAACTGGCGGCTTCCTCCTTTTGAGCGTGAATGGTGACTAGCACATGCTCATCTGGGGAGACCTTTTGTAGGTGCACATAGGTTTTAATATTAGCCTCCCAGTTGTCAAAGTTTTCTTCTTTTTTCCCACAGTAGGAATCGGGGAATTTGACTTTGACAGGCTCCCTACGAGGGCGTACTTCCTCCTCCGCTTTCACTTCTCATCCCACCTGCACCGCTAACTCCCACGCGAATTCCTTGAATCCCAAGCGTATCGAACGCAGGGCGATGTCCAGACTTCTAATGAACTGATATTGTTCTTCCTGAGCCTCTATCAGGCGTTCGATATTCCTTGCCATGATTCCCATCTTCCCCAACAAATCTACCTGCGTCGCCATCAGATCCCTCTGTTTCTTCACCTCTTCCAGTTCCTTTGCTGCCCGGCTCACCGCATCCAATCTTGCTTTTCTCTCCCTTGTTAGCCGGAATTTCCACTCCATCCTCTTTTCATCCTCTATGGTCCGTGGATCTTCTTCTGCCAACCCTGTCAACTATGGCCTCTATCCTGGACTCTAATACTACAGCCGTCACTACAGAACCTGTTGCTGACCAGGAGGCGTTTAAGGAGATCCCCCGCTACTCCTCATGAATTCTTGAACGTCGCAGACAGGATAACGTGATCAACAAGTTCTCTCAAGACTTAAACGGCCCGTTGTGCAGCCCACAACTTGGATTTCGGGCCTACCGTGCCACACCGAGCAGCCCGCCGGTCAGTACCCGTCCTTGGGAGGGTTTGTGTCCTCCAGGACAGTCGAGTCGTCAGACACAATCTTTAGCCTTACTCAGCCCGGCAGGGGTTTGGTCAACGAGGCCCTATCCTTCATACATGGAGTCCTATCACCTGGACAAAAGAGACTCAATGCAGAAAGAAGAGACAGACAGACTCAGACTAAGGGCTTGGCGAGATTATACCAACTCCTGCTTGGCTAAAGTCGTGGTCAGCAGCTCCGGTCAACGCCTTGGTCAACGCTTTGGTTAACCCTCTGGTCAACCCTCTGGTCAATGCGCGGTCAACCCTCTGTCGACTATGGCTGCCGACACCTTTTGCCTCGCCAACCTTCACTCTTTCCCCCTTCTTCGCCTTTCTTTTTCCTCCTTTTTTTTTTTTTTTTTTTTTTCAAGCTCGACTATCTCTGTCTTCCTCTTCGTGTCCCTCCTTCCTTCTCAACTTCACCCTCGTCTCTCCTCTGTGTCCCGAGCTCCGCGGCTATGGGCGCTACTCTGTCTTGGACCGCACAACCAATCTCGTATCACACAACTCTCTCTCTCTACGATGATGTCTTCAGCGCACGTGCGCAGCAAACCAATCTTGTATCGCTCACTTCTCTCCCTCTCTCTCTCTCTCTCTTCTTCGTCGTTGTCTTCTGTGCAGGTACACGTCACCTTCTTCCACAACGGAGCTATGGCGGACTTCTCTTCACAATGGCGCTCTACAACTGTGGCGCCCTATGGCGCGCGTCTCTCTCCTGCCACAACGGCGATGGCGCATGGGATAGCGGGTACCAGCTCTGATGCCAGTGCAATCAGACTCCCAATCATTCACACTTCGCATGCATGTAGATAAGCAATACGGCAAACTGGCGACAGGCGCCCACTCAAAGCTCAGAGATATGGTAATCACGGACACAGTTCAGATACAAACTCGATTCAGATGGCTATGGCGCATCAGCGCCTGTACAATACTATGTTTGTCACTACGCCTCACTCTGCTATACACGCATACTCAACTAGGATCGCACTGGATACCCCACGCACACACTCTGTCCCACCCACGCACACACTCTGTCCCACCCGCGCACACACACACTGCACTGCACTACCAGCTATGGCGGCTATGGCCGCTTCTACTCTATCGCTATGGCTGCGCTACTCTCCGTCAGCCCACTTCGACTTCGGGCGCATCTGCAGACCACCTCGCACAAGTCACTGTGGCAGCGCTTCCGCATGGCTTCCGCAGGAATGAATGAATGCCTATGCGCTGCCTCTTGATTTATACTTTTGTAACTTGTTGGTCTGCCTCTTTCCACCAGGCCCATGGTGCACACAATCCCCCTTCGTACTTGCTTGACTGGACCCTGACTGACTGGAACTGTACCGCTAACTGCATGGGGATGTACCGCCGACTCACTGCAATCGCCCCGCTGACCTACCGGGTTGGCCTCGCCACTTGTCCACTTGCCTCTGTCTAACGTGGGGCTGCTTCGAAAGGCCACTTCCGGAAGTCTCTAGACTTGGCCTTTCGGAGCCTGTAGTGACTACGACCTTGACCTTTCAGGACTGTAGCAGCTACGACCTTGACCCTTCCAGACCCTACAGCTCCTATCTGACAGGTCTACAGATCGAATCCCCTACAACCTACGGACCTGAAACAGCCTACCAACTGTTTGCGAATACACAGGTCACGTGTTGCATACTGTAACGGTGCAGACCAGAACAAGAACATACCTCTCTCACAAAGTACAAGATAGCGTAGCAGAAGACTTAGATACCAATGATCCGAACAATCACTATTCCAATGCAGCCCCGAACATGCATCATCATCATCACTCCATGGTGTGAAGGGGTCTGGCGCTCACACAGGAAGAATGCGCCAGCCCCAACCATACACAGACGAAGAAGAGGAGGGTTAGACGAAGAAGAGGGAAAGATGGGAATGTCGTCAACGCCAAGTCTTCGGCACAAGCCCAAATAGTCCCTCGTCAAAATGTATGAATCCCAATGTCGAGTCTGGATCCAATGTCGTCAAGTCTCAAGTCACAACTCTCTCTCTCTGTTGTAGTCCGCTGATGTTGAGAAGTCAGGTAGTGAAAGGGTGAAGAAGGGATGGTGGACTTAGAAGAGGAAGAAGAAGAACTCTCTCTCTCTCTCTCTCTCTCTCTCTCTCTCTCTCTCTCTCTCTCTCTCTCAGTCCAGTACTAACCTGTGAAGCTGGCCCCTTGATGCAGGTACCTCGAAGATGGCGCCATAGGTAAGTCTCACAGGCCTCCGCCAGCCATCTCTCTCCAACACTACTCCTACCACCTACTAGCGCCCAGCGCTGAAGACTACTACTACGGCTACTAGCGCCCAGCGTTGAAGACTACTGCTAGCGCTAAGCTAC